AAAAAACCAGAAAGATCCGACAGATCGTCCCGCTTAACGATCCTGATCCCATATCGCGTTGATTCGCAGGCGACGGTGTCGGCGTCGTTGGTTCGCGATTGTTGCCAGTGAATCGAAACATTTAGCCTGCGCGTATTGAGGTCAGTGGTTTGTTCATCCTATCGTTAATGACGATTCCAGCGTCGAGACACACAGCTTCGAGCAACCAAGCAATCGAGCGAGCGGGCGTACAGCGATTCCTCCTTGCGTAACATGTGTGTGACATACAGAGAGAGAGAGAGAGAGAGAGAGAAAGACACCCATCGACGACCAACGTTGGCCCGTTTTCTGCGCCCGGGCCGGACCATTATAATTTATACGGTTTTCGCAACGTACATATTCCGTCGACAGGTATTTCGCTTGCTCGGCGCGTTTTCGACTTTTCGTTTTGCAAGCGAACGATACGCGATCGCGATCCACCCGAGGGGACCAACGGGATCGTCGATCATGTATGTGTGTTTGCCCCTTCTTTGGTCACGCATTTGCCCTCCTGGAGTTTCTGTCCTCGTCGACGATCCTACTTGGCAACGAAGATCGACGACACCCTATCGTGGTGCCCATATCTTGAAACTTTCGTCGAATGTTTCTGCAAGTGTCAACCTTGCCACCCATTGCACGACTCGCGTCCATTTATACATTAACGTACCTAAGATCAATATCCCGATTTCTTGCTAGGGACGTATAGTTTTTATTCAATGTAAAAAGGTAAATAATAAACTAGTTGTACAGAGAATCTTCGTTGAGTGTTCGAATGCTCCTCGGGATTGAACGTTAAATATTTCATAAACTAATGGCCATATGCGACTGAAACAAGCATCATTGGCTTCAGAATTCCAAGATCTAACACTGTATAATATCTGATTAAAAAGTCAGCGTTATATTTTTATACACTGCCGGTAAAGCATTATTGAAAAGATGGATGCTTTAAAAGAAAGGAGCAGGGAGGCCTGTACACCTGATTTTTAACCGTTTGAATGCAGAAGAACGCGTTACCGTTTACTCGACGCAGAGGTTCTGATTAATCATCCTCGTGACGTCAGTGGTACCAGTCGTGCATTGCCATGTGTTTCACGACGGATTATGACAGTAACAAAACGGTACCATCAGAAGAGCTAACTTTGTCCCAACGTCAGAAAATGATCATTCTCAAAGTGATCGTTAGACTGCGGATTTTTGTGCAAAATAACATTTTCTAGAGTAATTTACAAATATAGGAACAAATGTAGAAATTTATTCTTCCTCTTAAGTATGTTATTGGGTTCAGACTAAAATAGAAAAATCATTGGATCCGATAGAAATTTTTGTCTTTTATTGTATTTCACAAAACCCTGTGGACTATAAATAAATAAATCACTGATCATTTTCTTACTTGGGATCAATTTCACGTGAGAAAAAGCTCTACTGTATCTGTCCGAAACGAGAAGATTCGTACAAAAAATACGTTGCTCGAAAGAACCAGAAGATCATACAGACTCCTCTCGATTATCGTCCCGTAATTCCGTGCTGGGACAATAATCTTGTAGGGAGAAATGCTTCCGACATTCGTAAATTCGTTTTTCGTCGTAATGGTAGAAGAAAGACTCTACTGCATCTGTCCGAAACGAGAAGATTCATAAAACAGACTCAAAATAACGACAACCACTGTTTCGATCAGATCCCAAAATTTGATCGATGACCAAACTTGCCTCTGGATCGTTGATATTTTTTTCGTTTGTTTCGATCGATCGGAGAAAGGACGCGACCACGTTAGTAGGTCGGCCTCTTCGGTCCCGTGAGCACCAGGTTCGTGCTTACAAATCGGTTGACCGGCTGGTCGATGATAAACCGACACATTGGGCGGGGGAGGGGGGGGGGAAGCACCCATTCAAGAACGCGTTGTCGATTGGCCTTGACGGGAATTCTCCCGACGACGACGGCCGAGTTGTATTGAAAGCGAAATTCAACGAGTTACCAAACCACACATCGTCCAGCTGACCACCACGCCGCCCCTCCAGCCGGCTGGATATACAGAGTGTTCATGTTATTACTCGCCAGCGATTTTTTTTTTTTTTTTTTTCGGAAATAGTAAGTATTACGAGAAAATGAATTAGGAGAAAGTTTTGCTGCTTTCTAGGACCAACATGATAATGTTTATCAATTCTTCGTGTCTGCGATATTTCTCGAGACACGAAGGTGACCTTGAAATTTTTCAAAGGAATACTGTATATTTTTTCATGTATGAAAGTATTTGTTCAGACGAATTCATGAATGGTTTAATGTCGATTCGTTCATAAAGAAGTATTCTTTATTATAAAAATTGAAATTTCCACGTTTAAACGATTAAAATTGACGAAATACTTTTTTTTTATCTTATATTCGTTATTCGAAACCTTTTATCTAGATAATTAGTTTGCCCATCTCTGGTTTACTATTAGTCCAACTCTGGCTTTCGTGAAAGTTGCACGAATATATCAACATATTACAAAATATAAAATAAAATTCGTCTTTGTTCAACTGGACGGAAACTGATCATCAGTTTTATGAGAATCATCGTATTATATCTTTAGTTTAGTCCAACTCTGGCTTTCGTGAAAGTTGCACGAATATATCAACATATTACAAAATATAAAATAAGATTCGTCTTTGTTCAACTGGACGGAAACTGTTCATCAGTTTAATGAGAACATCGTATTATATCTTTAGTTTGTCCATTCTGGGATGATACGAGGCAAATCTACTAGTTTGTCCATTCTGGGATGATACGAGGCAAATGTACTAACCAGTAGTTTTTCAAAATTTGTTTAACTAGTCCTTCTACCTTCTAGTCTACATTTAGTAAACTAGTCCTTCTACCTTCACAAAGAAACTCAAATCACTTGGTCCAATTTTGAAAGATTTGTTGTGTTTTAAAGGGTGTACGAATACTTTTTTTACCCACTGTAGCTCTGTCTAACATCACCTTGTCTTTACGGTAGGGAATTCTCCTGGCAACCCTGGTATAAGTATGTATGCAAGCTCTCAGGGACATAAATTAATCGTCGCCGGCATCCACCGCGCATCGAAAATAACCAATTAACCGTGGCGAGTCTCTGTTCCGCGACCTCCGGCGAGGAAGTGACTTCGTGGAATCGGTGACAGTGTCCAGCTGGCGAGAATTACAGGCGGATAATTATTGGTAATCCATCGAACATGCAGGAACTAGTGAGTTTTGTGCAATTATGAGATTTTTCGAGTGTGTGTATGTTTGGGGAAGCACAGAATGTGATGGAAAATTTAGACTAGTATTAGAATTCAGATGGATGTAAAATACATTGGTACTTAACCTAATAATGATAATAACTATACCACCTATATACCTATAATACTAGTTATATTGTATAGGTAGGTCAATTTGTTAAGGTATGCGTACCAAAGTCTAGCAATAAGCGAGACCATATTTTCGCAGTTCGATTTCAACTTCGATTCGGTTTTATTTACAGCATTTTACGCTATACTCGATGGTGAAATATTAAATTCTGGCGTAACAATTGCGATACCAAACATTCGCGTAACTCAACGAATATTTCCGCTCGGTAAAATTTTCTGCCTCAATTTATCTAAGCTTAAGGAGCAATAAAGTAATGACTTTACGAACAGCGCAAGGGTTTACATTAAGTCGAATCAGAGTTGTAATCGAATGCAGAAAATATGTTCACGTGTCATTAGATTGTAACAGACGTTCAATGTTTATTGAGTAAGTGCACCATTAAGAATGAAATTTCTGTTTCGACGCAAACTGACCGAAATAGTGCTTAAATGTTGAAACACGTTTAAGATAATCCAAAAAAAATGGAAAAGATGAATGGGGCTGTAAATAGGCCCAAATATCGCTATATAGGCGATTCGTCAGAAACTTCGCTTTCTGGGTGATAATCCTTATTTTTTGTAAACTGTGAGAATTGGAAAACATATCCAATCGAATAATCGCAATAATCTGGGTCCAAGGATGGAATGGTAACTAAAACCTTCCTCAAAGTCAAAATTACTATAAACTTTACACTGCTTGGATTAAAGAAACGCTTAAAAAACAATTAAACAATCGAAATACAGTTACTTATACGTATAAAACTACAATTCAAATCTTTTATTTACTCTCGTATAATTCCCAATTAGAACAATTAGTTTCACTTTGAATTTCAACATATTGTACCTTCACAACGCTACCCCCGATTACACAATTATCCCAAAACAATAATATTTTCGATTTCGAAGGTTCGAAGTATTGTTACTTTATACCAAAAGAAAAAACATTTTTCAAAATGTTGATCTTCAAAAATTGACGTTGGCCTACCCCGTCGAATCTATAGCCTGTATGTGTGTGATACATAAGAGAAAAAATCGTGCTTAGGCCGTTTCGTAAGCGTTGGGACGCGTGCGCACGTTTTGAATTTCGGGTTGGGCCCGATCTTGGCCGCCGCGAAATCGCTTCTAATTCAATGCCAACGCCGAAAATCGCGACACGGATGGATCGGGGACGTTTATGTAATCGTATGACGAGCCGAGGCTCGCGTGAACGTTAAGTAACACGCCCTGGTTTCCACCTGTAACAAAAGAAATCACCTGGAAATTGCACAGTCTCAGGCTCGAACGATTCGAATTTCTCGAAATACAGTAATGTCTCGATGAGTGCGACGACTTCGAGTGCAAGCATTCGTGTCAAGGCGGAAAGATTTTCAACCCCTCATAAAATTGTTCTTTGCAATAAGTTCAGCTTCTGCTTAGGTTCTTTTTTTTTTTTTTATTTGTTCATTTATTACTTTACCAATGGTCATTAGCGACTGCATTTGCCAATTGTGAGCGACTTTTCTAACCGTCTCGTTTAAGTGTCCAAGCGAAAATTTCTTCATTGTCGTTACTCATTTTCAAATCGAATGTTTCCCATAGTATAATAAAAATACAATCGGACGATCTTCATCTAACCAGTTCGTTTTTCACTGTTACAGGAACTCGCGAATCCGATCGTGAAAGTCTACGCCCTCGACATAGTAACTGGAAGGAACACGTGAAGACACCGTCCAGAGGAAGGAAGAAGTAGGCAACAATGTCGATTGTAATGCAGTACGTGGACCGGCTCCACGAGATACTCGACAAGCATGCAGGTAAGACAGGCCTAAAAGTGACCGCGAGAGGCTGCGATTTCCTGAACCTTTGAGGGAGTGGGAGGAATCGGTTCTCCCCGTGGACAGGCCATAAAACATTGAGAAATATCTCGGGGACGATCACTAAGCCGGTGACTAGACGGGAATTCATTAACTCTTTAGGGTTAGGTGGGTTAAAAACTGTCCCACCTTTTGCTTAGCTTTTTATGCACGGTGGGATATATTTTAACCCCCCTCGAAAAGTTGAAGTTACTCATAGTCATACAATTTAATATTTTATTCTTATATAATTTTTTTTATATTAAAAAAAATTCTGTGCAACTATCTAAGGTAACTTTGTTACCGAGATATTAAGGAAAAAACTTCGACCGGTGAACTAAAGTGTTATTAGATTTCTTCCTATAATTCGATTACAAATATTAAATATTCGTATATCCGTGTATAATGATGCTACTTTTCACAAGAGTTGAGTAGAATTGTCTTCGAATAAATCACACTGAAAATCAGCAATACCAAAGACCGTCGGTCGCTTCTTTAAACAGTTAATGAGGTTAAATAATTGTTTACCCAATGTCTACTCTTTTGAAAAGAAGTATCAAATATTCTATAATAAACATTGGAATTTCCCCGTTCAATCAATCAAACACCGTTCGTTTTTTTTTTTTCTATCTTTTATTCGTTATTCGAAATTTATTATCCAGATTATTTTCGCCTCACCTGTGTATATCATACGAAGAATATTCTGTAGTATAATATGCTCGTACAACCGTTTGTTTCTCTTTCGAGAACCGGAATTTTCACGGTGGTGTCGCGGTGAACGTGTTTTGCAACTGCGTTCCAGCCGGTCGCTTTCGGGTCAGCGATTAAAGAGCACAAAAAATAAATAAATAAAAAAACAATAACAACAGGTGCAACGTTTACGACAGGGGATCGCAATCGAGGATGAAACGTGTTATTTAACCGTGCGTTATAAAAATTACAATGGGGCTAATTATTGTTCTCGGTGACATCGGATCACGATGGGTATTATGTATGTGGTTTTGGTTCTTTTCGAAGCACGTTTAATGTCGAGCTGATTTTTTGCTCGCCTTCCACGTGAGACTAGTCGTTTAGTGGACAGCGTACAAGAAGTGACAATGATGATACGTAAATAAAAGACAGAAACAGTATTCTTAGTGGAAAAAGCTAAATTGTGATGTCAAATTTAATCAATATTTTATATACCAGAAATCAATTGTTATGAGTTTAACCCTTTAACGATTGGACAAATCCTTGTTTCAAAATTATGAAACTGATACACATATACAGGGTGTCCCGCCTAACTCTGCCACTCTCAATTATTGTCATTTGTCACGGTACAAAAAAATAGATAATGAGTTTGCCCATCACTGGCTCGGTGTTCCCGACTAGACTTGCAATTAAATCGATGCAATTTACAAAGCAAAAGTATTGTTACACCCCGTCAAACCGATACTAATTACATACTTGAACCTAATTTGCCGTTTTACCGTGTATAATTTTTTTTTTTTTTTTTTTTTTGGCATTTTATATACACTTATAAATATCTGATTCGATTATGAAATATATCTGAAGGACAATCAAGGTGTTACATACCCCGTGGCACATGTAAACGATGTGTTTATCTGATCTAATTATTGGAACGTAATAATTAGCCCGCGGATGTCACGCTACTCGGAGATTTTTACCGTGAATTCGAACGACGATCACAAGAACGTCACGTGACCTCTTATTATTTCTCCAGTCTAAGACGATAGCGTTTATTTGCAGGAATGGTAATAAAGTACGACAGTAATGGTATTTTAGAATTATTTAAATTCAAATATCTCCTAAACTACTAACTTTTCGACATACATAGGTTAGTTCTTTTTTATAATGCATGTCCACCTGCATCGATTAATGTATTAAAAAATACCTCATTCCATTTAAAAAAAACAAAGTTGACCTTCGTATCACCTTTACGCGTCCACTCACGAAAAAACTAATAACATCAGAATATGCTCTCAGTCAATACCATTCAAGCCTCCGCTGAAACATTTTTTTCTACGAGTAACAACAGCGAGAAAATCAAGATATCAAAATCGGGTGAGACACCCTATATAACCCTATATGAGCCCTACCCTTATAGAAATCGAAAAAAATACCGGTGTTTATTTCAGTTTTCAGTAATATATCGGTTTCAGTATAGCTTTTATGGCATAATACCAGTATCAAAGTCATACTGGTTTATGTCCCTGAATAGTGTATGAAAAACTGTGTTGAACCGCTCCCTATCAAGGAAACGAAATTTCAGGAAGGTCCTTAATTTTGGCCTCAGGTTGAAAGGAATCGTAAAAAAGCTCGCCGTTGCGAAAGGAATCGTAATAAAGCTCGCCGTTGCGACGATTCGAATCGCACGTTTGCCGGTGATTTCGACGAGCGCACAAGCAGGAAAGGGTGTAACCATACATAGGGAGGGGGGATCTCTTGCAGTCGGTCGAACGTCATTCGTTGCCGGTGTGTGTTGCAGCGGCAGACTGTACCTCGAAGAAAAAAAGAAAAAAAAAATTTGAATTATTCATTCCGCGTGTCGCCGGGGTAATACCAGCCGCCGGTTTCGAGGAAGATTTTTAAGCCTCTGTTTAACCGGATAAACACGTAAAACAGACACGAGGGAAAAGCCCGTATTCCGTGGAAGTTCATGAATCCCAATTTTAGAATTTTCCATAATGAACGGAACGTTTCGATTCGGGAACGAGTCATTCGACTTTCCTTCTTTTTGTACCTGCGTTATATTTTCCGTTTGCTGTTCAACGAAACGTCTCGAAATCACCGGAACATGGGAATTTTGGCGACCGGCGACGAAAAAAACATCGTTTCGCGTTAAAAGTAGAGAAGGTTACTTGTTTGCTTGGGTTTTGTGAATTTTAATCGCGGAATTTTCCGTGGTGAATAACCAAAATTTTTGGACCTTCTTGTTTTGAAATATTATGCTTATTATTATTCGACAATGAGCGTGGGACCCTGAAGAGGTCAATGAAATCATTCGGAGATCGTGTCGAGACATCGAGAAGCTGCCAGGGTTGGGCGGATTTTATTCGAAACAAGATAATAAATAATAATTTGAGGCGATAAATTATTTCAAATACTTTATTCAATAAATATTGAAATAACAAATTACTTCAAATACTTTATTCTTTTTCTTTTATAGATAACGTAAGAAAACTAATTTTATTTTCTGCTTAATTCAAATAAATTATTTTCAAATAATTCTTTGTTTGAATGTAATTTTTTATTTCAGTTACTTCACTTGAATAGATTAACAAATAACATAACGTAAATAGTTGTTGAACTAAATTAATTAAACTTAGAATACAGGAATTTTTATAGTTTTACTGCATTTGCTCGCAAAATTGTTCTCCCTTTAAGCAGTTCCATCGGAAAGATATCCTTATCGTGGTAAATGAAAATACTTAAAAATTCAAACATACTTAACGATTCTGACATGATCGAATCCGAGAGTATTTGTGAAATTATTGAAATAAACATTCGATGTCAAAACAAGAAAAGTCATTAGTCCGTCGAATAAACTGACACACGATTACTTCGAATAACACGTAGCCAGATAAGATAACACATTAATCTTAGCAATTACGTTTCAAATAGTTTATTGGGATAATGCCCAAGCCTGGGTCCAATTATCATGCAAGCCAGATTAATTACGAGCATAAAGAAGGAAGGATAGATTTGTCCTACGATCTTGCCGATACATTCCGTGACAATGAATAAAAAAGAAAAAAAAACAGATTCGATCGAAAAACGGATATTCGACGACCTTCCTTCGTTCGTGAGTTATTACGTTTATGCCCCCCCGAGCCGCCAAGAGCCTCGCGTGAACCCTGAAACGTGTCGAATGTGTGAGCGTAGAGGCCCCAAGGCCGTTTCGGGGACCGTAAAATCAGCTTCTTGGGGACAAGTCAATGAAACGGATTCTACCGACTGGTTTTAACGCGCGACGACGGGCGATAGTTGATTGAACCTGCGAAGGACGGGAAGGGTGAGGAAGGCTTCTCTCGTGTGCAAAGAGCCTCCCGAAGGTCGAGGTTGTTACACTTTTACCCGTCGCCTTCGCAAGAAGCACACGAGACCACGAGTCTCGTGCCACGGTAAACCAGTCGACCCGTAAATTACCAATACTTGGGACAGCCTCACTGTCAGGTTCGATTAACGATTGGGCGTGTTTCGGCCTCTGATTGGTCGACACCACGACGTGAATTTGTATTCGAAACAGATGACCCTGATAAACATTGTGTCCTTTTTTTTTTTTTTTAACTTTCAGTATAAGATTAATTACGAAATGTTAAGTAGGCAAAAATAAATCTTGAGGTGGCTGTGAGTACTTGCAGGTTTAAGATTTCTTGTAGCCCTGGGCTGTTGAACCTTAGAGGACCACCTTGGTTAAAAACGGGGAGGGGTGGAGGGCACGAAATTTTTGTAATGCAGTATGCAATAAAATGCGGGAATTTTAGGAAATTAAATTTTATTCTAAGTAAAATTAACCCTGGAACGACACCCGTCCATTTTCTTGCGTCAGTAATACCGTAGGGTCGCGGGCGACCCAAAATACGCTTCGAACTATTCTTGTTTAAACATCTTAGAAAATAATAACTGCACAGTGTGATTTTTATTTTAAAAAAATAGAGGAAGGGTAAAGGAAAGCTGAATGTTCTAACAACTTTATTAATTATTATAACATAATAAAATTAAACAAGTTTATAGTTTTAAAAACATTACCCGAATCTATTAACATTTGCCAATATTTTTTAGTTGATTCAATCGCGTCAACTCTTAGTCATATTCCCTAGAAAGAAAACTGGTTCGTTTTTATTTCAACCACAATACATAAGAATCGAAAATTTTAGAGCGATTTCACAATTATACCACGCAGTGTACATTTTCCAGTTGCAACAGTATTGCTCCATCAGGTCCCATTCCGCTCTACCCAATTTCCAGTCGCATCGGTTCGGTCCAGTCGTGAAGAAACAGATTACCCAATATCCACGATCTAAACACAGGGTCAGGTCCTTAAACCCAAAGTGTCCCCGCCCAATTCGTCATATAAATACTCTTCCACACCTTACGCAACAAAAACGCTCGTATTATTATCTACCCTGGGCGAGGGGAGAGATGAAATAAAATTTACGGTTGACAGAAAAATACGACCCGGTTCACCATGTCCGATTTCTCTTTTCAGATCAGAGAACAACGGACTGGTTTCTGATGAGCTCGCCGTTTCCCACGCTGGTCATCTGCCTGGCTTACGTCTACGTCGTCAAAGTCCTCGGGCCTAAGCTGATGGAGAACAGGAAGCCGTTTCAGCTGAAGAACACGTTGATAGTGTACAATATGTTCCAAATGATGTTCTCCGCGTGGCTGTTCTACGAGGTAACGATCCATCGACCCGAATCCAAAATCCATCGTCTCCTTCTTTCGATTCCTCCGATCTTTCGGTGCCCTTTTAGTCCGCCATTTTCCACCTAGCTAGCGTGTTCTATCGCGCAGACTCCGTGGCAGTCTGCACGTATAACCTTAAAAAGCGTCGTCCTAGCGCGGGGAACGATTTCTACGAACCTGTCGAACGTCCTGGCCGAGTCATCGAGTTCGAAACTGTGGTCGTAGCTTGCATCGATATGACGCTCGGTTAATTAGTATTTACGGGACGAGCCGAGTAGCCCGTCGACATCGTTCTACGTGACTTCCTTGGCAATCGAGCGAGCAGGGTGGTACACTTGGAACCTGCGAAACGGAACGATCGAACGTACATTTTGATCTGCCAGTTGGGTTCCGTTTAACACTTGGAAATCGTGATTTAGAACTTCCATAGAGAAATCGATTATTTTTTACTGTAGGGCCTTGTTCGAGGACTAATATATCAGTCCGTGTCGTTGGAATCTTGAAAGTTATTTCCCAGATAGCACATGACGCCTTGGAGACGCCGATTTTACGGCTGTTTTAGGTCTGAGGCGCCTTTAAGCCGTCTCCAAGACGTTATGTGCTATATGGGTATACGTTCGCTATTGGTAAACTAGGGGAAGAAGGAGGCCACTATGGTTCTATCATTGAACTCTGTACCTGGAACGATAACTGTTTATTATTACAATTTAACGATTACTATTTCACTCTGATACACATACTTTCTGAACGTACAGTCGCATCTATATCTGCCTATACCTAAATTTACTATAGAATAGTAAGTAAAAAAAGGAGAGGTACTAAGAGATACCTTCGAAACAACTATATCCCTCTCGGACCCCGGCTCATCTATGATTTTCTATGCTCTGTTATCGTTCCAGGAATATAACAGTTCAATCGGTTTTATTGTCCTTAGAGCCACCGTGGTTCCATAGTCCTTAATGCCACAACCTGGCCAACTTAGGATCTGAAGTACACGAGTTCAGATCCCTTTTCTCCTAGATTCCTACAAGATAATACGATTAGATTTGAAAAGAAGCAACGTATCGGCCTTAATATGTCCATCTACTATCCAAATGTGCTTCTGGATATCATCGGTAATTCCGTAGATCGACATAAACAAGGCGCACCGTGTTTACCATCGGTAGCGAACGTGCTTAAAGAAACTAGGGAACAAAACGATAGTAAGATTCGAGGTGACCCGATTTTTCGAGCTCGATCGATCGAGAACGTTCGACAGGCGTAGAGAAGCCGTGATAAATGGTTAAATTTTGCAAAAAACAACAGTGCCTGATGGGCGGATGGTGGGGCCAGTATAGTTTCCGTTGCCAGCCGGTGGACTATACCAACAATCCCACAGCGATCAGGGTAAGTTTTGCGTCGTTTCTCTAGCCTGTTCCGCAGATGGATCATCGACGAATCCGACTTGAACGAGACTGGACCCAACGAATGTCAACGTTCAATTGAATTTCTCCCTCAATTTGTTTCTTCTCTCCGTATACATACGTTTACGTTTATTACTAAAAAAAAAAAAAAAAGAATCTGAGAATTCCATTAGATGAGGAATTCCTTGCTGGACCAGTTGGAACCCTTAATTGGCGACGCGTGTGGTTCACGTTACCGCAAGGGACTTGGATGGTAGACGTTGCGAGGAGCCGCAAGCTATTGTCATGCTGTGTTGTTCGATGCTTTTGTAGAATGGCTGACTCGAGGGTAGGAGTACAGCCAGTCAAGGAAGAGCGAAATATACTAAAACGCTTATCAACGCTTTCACACTGTTTAATTCACGCGCATCTTCAGGGCAGAAGGCAAATCACTCCACGAGTCTCCTATTTCCGGGTTCTCCAACATTTTTGCTACACCCCGTAGAACCAGTAGCGAAACTGTCCCTATCCGCTTCCACTTCACTCCCCCCTCCAGTCGAGCGAACCTCGAGATACGGTGAGGAATCTGGATTTTCTCGGTGAACCAAAAATTCGTACCGAAAAATTCAATCGTCGGTTTCTTCGAATTATTGGACACGTGCGAAATCCACTAAAACGAGTTATTATCAAAGGAAACCGCCTGTAGGTAAGATCCTGGACCCGCAATTGCTACGAGTACGAAAGTCGCGCGAACGTCGACGACGAGGATGCGTTCGACCATAATTAAACCGGCCTTCGACCAAAAGAAAACATTGCTGCGTTCAAGCACAGACGAGATATAGGAGTAGACATTTCATCTTATGTATTTTTGTGGCCCACTTTTCGGGGGTTACGTACCCCATTTCCATTTTAATGTCAGTCAGTTCTCAAAACGTAGAGGTCGCTGAAATCAGTATTTAGTGTCACTACCAACCGCAGATTCACCGTTCTTAAAACGTAGAGGTCGCTGAAATCATAGGCTTTTTAAGGTGTCGGTACTACATTTTAGCCGGGCCACCAATTCCCATAAGATGAAAGGTCTATTATTATACCTCGTCTTGTTTCCACCTGAAACACCAAGCAATCCCTCCACCCCTCTGAACATTCTTAAACGCCCCTTTCTATCGTCTGTTCCCGTTTCGCCTCTGAGCCTTCTTTTCTCTTTCCGTTTATTTGATTCTTTTCACTGATCGGAGAATGGCCTCTGGGCGGTTGTGGTTGCAGATAGGAATGTCCGGATGGCTGACTGGCGACTATTCCCTAAGGTGCCAACCCGTAGACTACAGCGATCGACCCCAAGTACTAAGGGTGGGTGATCATAACCCCTTTAACACATGCAAAACGTTTTACACACTAAACCAAAGAGAAAAAGAAAAATATACACGGTCCTCGAATTCCACAATCTCGCGGCTGGATACGTCGGGACGAAATCGTAACTGCGCAGAGGGTTTCGTAATAGGCGGTGCGTAACTTCGAGAATGAATCGGTATTCGATTGGACTTCACGCGAATGATGGGTGTTTTGAGGTTAGGTTCGAGTGATCGACTGATCGTAAATCAGTGGTTATTGGTTTTACTTGGTTATTTTTTTTTTTTTTTTTTTTTTTTTTTTTGTTCTTTTATGAATCTTGTCGATTATAGATTACGGATGTTTCTTGTGGATTAAGTTACGGGGATAGAGATTACAGAGGGATTTAGCTCTGTTGGTAAGGAGTTCGTTACGTTTGAAGTAGAGTGAACGGTTTGCTGATGGAAAATAGTAAACAGAGTTTGTGTAAGAATTTATAGTTTCTTTAAATAAGTAGAATATTTAATATAGAAGGGTAGCAACTGAATTACCAAACCTGATGATAATAATAATCTTCTATTTATTTGGCTGTAGCAATGCTTCACTGTCGCTCTTCAACTAAACACTTGAAATTGGTGCTTCGAACATTTATTTCGTACCTGATTCAATTCAGAATTTATCACCCACGTATTACGAAACAGCCTCTGCAACATACATATATACAATATCAATTGAATAAAAATATCAAGCATAGAACAAAACACACCAAAAAACTTAGGAAAATGCATCTGAGAAATCTACTGAAAATTCAGCTAGAAGTGTTATTTATCAAAACTCCGATTTGGAATTAACGTATGTCGCAAGCGATTCCGCGTTTTTCAAACAGGTTTCGGTCGAACGAAATTTTGCAACGAAACGTTTTTATCGGAACTGCAAGTAGAAAGTGCATCGCGTCTAAGTTTGCAGAAACTCGTGTGTGTCCCCCTCCCCCCTCTTCCCCAGCGAGCACTCCTTTTTTGGTAGATCTGCGATCGATCGCCACGCATTTCCACGAATCAGAGACTTCTGTTCGAAATTTTGTTTTTTTTTTTTCCTCTATGTTCCCTTATCCCTATTTTTTTTTTTTATTATCATTATTCCATCGACACGATCAATCCACTGGATTTCATAGCCTGTGTCCGATGCCTAGAGTTTCCGAGTAGTATTGTTGGAAGATGACATTATTGTAGTTAGTTACTCGGGCAAGCTAACACACTACGAAATTGTAGTCGCTTCATGCAATTAACACCACTTGTAACGGACCACGAATCGAGCAGTAAAAAACGAAAGATAAGAAGAAATATAAAACAAAAAAGAAACTTGGATACAGACACCACTTTGCACGACCGACAAGCTACATTCACTTATAGTCTGCCTACTCGATTACTGTCACCGCAGGCACACCCGAACGATCACCCGTTCGAATGGGATCAATTTACCCGACTGTTGCCTACGATGACGTGTATCGAGCCAGGGCAAATCTTCGGAGCACCCTATATGAACACGATTTTCGTGGAATTTTATCGTCACACGTGGGTTTTCTTTCGTGTGATGATGTGCATCGAAATATCGGTAATAGTATATCCGATTTTCTTCAAACTTTAAAAAATGTCGCATACAATTATATGTACCTTTCATTTCGAGTTAAATTTGTAACCGAAACTTACCTTAAACGTCACTATAAATGCAAATTAAATGAAAGAACATAAGCTGTAAATAGTAAAAAAAAAAATGTTTAATTGTTTTTATTCGAAGCAATATACTGATCAGAGTTGGTTAGAGCTAGTTAATTAAAAAAAAATTTTTCGAAATTGTTTGCATCCATAATTATTCGGAATTATTTGAATTTGTTTAAAATTTGGGCATTTTGCAAATAGTTATCGGTCCAGTAGCCCCTGGAATGAAATCGAACCAGTATTGAAATTGAATAAAAAATTATCTGTCAGAATTCATGTCTAGTTAAATTGTAATCGGTACAATTTTTTTGAGCGTTGAATGGTTAAAACTAAAATTTTACAAAATTAAAATAGTAGATCTGTTAAATATCGATACTTTCGACTTGAAAATAACAAGACACAATATATGTACATATTTGTCTCATAATTTTAAAATAACGATTTAAGGGTCTGGACGTTAAAGACTTCGAATTTTCTTTCGGATTAAGACCATGAAAAAACAGTTAGATACGAACCGATGCTCCGAAGGTTTGCGTCTGTCGCCATAATTGTCTAATCACGAGGGTGACTCGTAACAGGATGATCTAATCGATGATTTTGCAAAACACAGATGGTGCACGCATGTTGGTGGTATTACTTCTCTAAATTCACGGAGTTCATGGACACGGTAAGTAAATTCGTAAGCCTACGAAAATGAAATTATCTCGTTGGAATCCCATTTCCAGCGTTCGATCCCTTAGGATCAAAAATAAAATCGTCCAAGATTTCTCATTGTTCGACGACTTTTGTAGATCTTCTTCGTGCTGAGAAAAAAGAACGATCACGTGTCGACGCTCCATGTTATTCATCACGGTTGCATGCCGATGTCGGTGTGGTTCGGCGTTAAATTCACGCCAGGTATGTAAACGATCTTATTAATCCGATTCTAAAATTTATTATCAATTTCGAGAATAAAATTGTGCCCGGTGAATTAACACTGGAACTACCAAGCAAGTCAAAATGACTTGTCAATATATTTCCTCAGATCTTTTGCACCTTTTATTACGATATGAAAGTGAAGAAATTAGTCAATTTCTAAATTTACAAAAGTTTTTCACGTTTATCGTCGGTAGTTCTAATGTTAATAAAAGATTTTGTGTACACCTTGACACTTACAAACGTCAAACTAATCAACTCGAAGAACAGTGATACGAAATAAAATCTAAAGATGGATAATTATTGTAGACATTTCTTGGTTAAAATTCGTCCACTGTCGAAAGTCAATCACGCCGTTAAATTACATGAAGAAAAACGAATGCGAATTTCTAAATCGTCTAGATATATTTCGTGCTGGAATAATGATCCAAACAATGAGTTAGACAATTCGACGTGTAAACATTTATATTCAGTCAAACCTGTTGCAAGTGCAAGGACTGAAGAAGTTATAGAAATTAGAGTCGATCAGTTTGGCATTTGGGATGTTCAGTTAGCAGACCAGTGGATTCTAAGCTTAATTCAGATTTCATGAATGTCTGGAAACAGCAATTTTATCATTTTATCATGGACTATTTATTTGTAACGTATACAAAGTTTAAGTAACAGGTTTGTTCAGATCGGTATGAAACCACATAAATCACGAAATGGGGGCGTCAATCGGTATTTTTCTTTTTTTTATTAATCTTTACGTGTGCATGCCTAACTGTCTTGATCGGAATTCATTTTTTTATTTTTTTTTTGTTTTAAGCAAAACGCCTACTACTGACATTAGACTTGTAAATACGCGATCGATAAGTGTTGCTCGACTACTTTTCGCGGGAATTCGGGTCATTCGAACGTTCTAGTGATTTCGAGGCGATCGCCGCGCAATTTTCACGGAGGTCTCTCGTGAAACTGGTCTTAAGGTTGTGTCGTTGCAGCGGTGGGAGATAGGAAAACGTGTTCCGAGATAAAAAAAAAAAAGTAAATAAATAAATGGGTACCTAACTGCTGCAACTGTTGCAACTGCCATGGTTCGCATAACTATAGTTGTAACTTTTTTTTGCTTGTAAACAGTGTCGTATTTTTTATTCGAATAGTTTACACAGACTTTTAATGGCATTTGAGTCGGATACATGCTCAAGTGCAACATTCTTCACGAATGTATGAGAACAGGTTGCGAACTGATTCTAGAAAAGTTATGTTACAAAAGAAACCGCTAATGTGGAATTGTTGCGAAAGTCTTGATACACTTGCTTAACACTGTTGCGACAAAGTGCATATTAATGGAAACATCATGAAAAAATTAAGACAGTAACATATGATAGAAGGGCAAAATATTAGCATTGGGATCGTGATAAAACGTCTCGAAACGTGAGAGTAATCTTCGTTTTTCGATCTTGTTAATTAATCGGAAGCAATCGGCGAATCTATGCGTCGAAATGCGTACCGTTAGCCTTCAGAATGTTTTATCTTTCATTTTGCTTGTTATTACAATGGGAACGACCTTAGTTCTGAGTGTCTAGATAAGCAAACTTTGTATGAATTTAAACTTCGTGACAGAAGGTCGGTATCACCATAATGTAAGGATATAGACTATAAAGTAGTATATTTAAAGTAGTTATTATTCTAATTTCTTACTTCTAATTTATTATTCTATCGTCTTACAACTTTTCGCCATATTAAAATATGGCCGCTTGGAAAACAACTTAGGAGCACTGCGTAAACGTGGTATGAACACAACCTTTCTATATTAACGTAAAAGGCTGTGCCAAAATAATACAAACTTTTATTTCATTTTTTGAACATAATATATATTTAATCGTTATTATTCAGACGACTCATCGATGATATACTGTATATGGTGTTCTTTCACATAGTCCCTTGTTTCACTTATCCTAGTCATAGAATAAAAAACTATAAAGAGGAAAACTATAAAAACAAAAACAATTTTTATAAAATATAAGGGCACAAATACATTACCAAAACAAGTGCAGATAGAATAACTTTAAGCTCAGTTTACAACAAACTTACTATTCGTAAAATAATACTATCGTCTTCTGAAGCCTTCGATTGATTCAGTCCTTCAGATCCACCCGATAACCACTATATCTGCCGATCTATTCTCTTCCAGGCGGTCACTCGACCTTCTTCGGTCTCCTGAACACGTTCGTCCACATCGTGATGTACATGTACTACCTATTGGCCGCGATGGGCCCGAGGCTGCAGCCGTACCTCTGGTGGAAGAAGTACCTGACCGTCTTCCAGATGATCCAGTTCGTCGCCGTGATGATCCACGCGTTCCAACTCCTCTTCATCGACTGCAATTACCCGAAGGCGTTCGTCTGGTGGATCGGACTGCACGCGACCATGTTCTTCTTCCTGTTCAACGAGTTCTACCAGCAGAACTATCTGCACAGGCGAAAAGCGATGACGAACGGTCTCGCGAAGAAGGAACATCGACAGACAACGATCAGCCAACAGGCGAACGGTCTGTCGAACGGAAACACCAGTAACGCGACGTCCACCACGGGGAGACGAGACGCAGCTGACTATTACGTGAAAGGGGACAGTCTCGCGGCGTCGGAGCTGAACCTTCGAAAATCGTACACGACGACCGAGTGACATGATTCCCGGCGACACGTCGTTTAGACCATCATCGATTCACATCTCGACAACCCCCATAAACCATCCATCGATCCTACGAGTCGCATATCCAGGCTTCGCTCTTTCACCCTTCCCCGATCCTGGACCTTCCCCCCCCCCCCCTTCCAATGGGGACTCCGAACAGCATATCGACTAACAGCCCGTGTGTACAGTGAAGAAAAAAAATAGAGAAGAGTACAAAATTGCTCCGTGCAGCCGCAAAAGGAGAGGACAGATAGAAGATAGATAGGTAGAACGAGAAGTTAGAGAACGAAGTGAGACGATGTACTCTCTATGGAGTATACCTACAGTCCAGAGGTGACCTGTTGGTTAATTATAGTGCCTTTTAGAGTTACGATGACTTCGTATAAACAGCAGGGGTTCGGATGTTTCACGCCGTTTAAGGGTTTCGGTGGCAAGTTCAGCGTTCAGGGACGGTCAACGTTTTTGAAGGGGTAGCAAATGACACATTTAGCGGCTTGTACCCTTGAGGGTATTACTGAGTCACATTTAAAGTCACTACAGCTCGGAGAGGCACTATACCAATCTAATTACCTGACGAACGGGATACACGAGGGACCGAATGAGATAGAGCAATAACAAAGTAATGACCCAGTGTCTCGTTCGGTTTGTCGGTGACTTAGCCAATAAATCATCTCTGGAGTGTACAAGATGTTTATGGGAATACGTGTCGCGACTCAATGTCACGGACAGGACCTACCTGCCATCCCCATCGCGATGCAAATATCCGCCCGCGATTCATTCCTCGGGTGGCGCGCTTCCGCGTCGTCGTCGATCGTTCCACGAAACGGGGAGAAAATGGGGACGACATAAGAAAACGGGGAACGTCTGTACGGTACTACCAGAGTTTTCACAGATAACTTTATGTCTTCGATATACAGTGGGCTTTATATATTATATATTGCCATGGTCGGGACTGTGGGAGTAAAACGGCAATAAGTTCAGAGCCCCCTCCATGCTAAGTTCTATCGTCATAGCATCAGCCTCAGCGCCTGCGCAAAAGCTAGTTCGTGCTGGTGCGTTGGCGTACGCAACGTGGTGGGGGCTCGAACATGTGAAGGGGAAGTGCTTCGGGTGGCAATATGTTTAGTGGCAATATAATTGAGAGTCCAGTGTACGTGTAATGTCTAGAGCGTGCGGTTCTCTGTCTCGCGTAGTCAAACCATGCGCACAATTAAATACCATAGAGGGATTGTTGGAGACATTTGAAAAATAAGGGGCTTAGCGGAAAAGGACACAATACTATACATTTTCACGACAACTACTTTCAGGAAAAATAAGGTTAGAGTTTGTTAACACTAGAACTACCGACGATAGTAACAAACTTCTGAAAATATTTAACTTTATAAATTAACTATTTCTTCATTTTTATATTACTATGAAAGTTGTGAAATATCTGAGAAAAGTGTTGTAACATTTTAATCGTCAATATAAGAATAAAGTTTTGGTAGTTCTAGCATTAATGGTACTAACGTTTAAAGGCCACGTGCCCCTTTTTCTCTAAGACCCGTAAATGTAAAGAAAATCTCTTCAAATATATCACTTATTCGCTGCAACAATGACATAACTCGAAATCTGCAATTTTTTAGTTACTGGTAGTAAAAACAACGATTGTTGTCTGTACGTTTTATCGGTTGAATCCTGCAAGTGAACTTCCAAAACTTACGTCAGGATAGTCACTTCAACATGATGGTAGTACGAAATTATATAGCTCGAAACATTCAAACAAGTTTCCCATAAAATCGTGACTTTGAGTTATGTCGTTGTCGCAGCAAATGAGCAATATGTAATATTGATGGAATTTTAAAAATAACAAAACACTAATGGTCTGACTACGAGAAACACGAGACCAGTACCGTCCATAGTAACGGGCAAGCTGGGCACTTGGCCCGGGCCTCGCGCTTAAGGTCTTCCGCATTTTGTAAAAATTCAAATAGAGAAATAAGATTATCTGTTTTCATTTATACGTTTTCAACGATACCGACTTGTGCCCCGGGGCCCGTGAATTCTAGGGGCGGCTCTGCATGTGACTACGCGCTCTAGACACTGTATGTCGATGACACAAAAAAGCCATCGTCCAGAAACCCTGGTTATAGTGCCTCTCCGAGCTATAGTGACTTATTAAAAACAGCAGAGATTCGAATCTTTCACGCCTTTAAGAGTTTCGGTGGCAAGTAGAGCATTCAAGAACGGCCAACGTTTTTGAAGAAGTAGTAAATGACACATTTAGCGACTCGTACCCTCGAGGGTGTCACATAGCACACCCACTGAGAGGGTCACACCTGAAGTCACTATATCTCGGAGAGGCACTATACTACCGATAGACTGTCCCCTCGTGTTGCGCCCCGTTCTTTTTCAACGTCAAGCCAACCAGCTAGTCTGATCGACGGAGATGGATCGGTATGTCTGCCCGATAAGACCGCGGCGATAATCACGTGGGAGATATAGGGAAAAATTACGTAAAAAGGCCTCTGGGTGTGTATTGTTCAGCGGCGTCGTTGCGTTTTACCGTCGGGGACGGTGATTCCCATCTGTGTTACGATGCAGTGGAAACAACGGTAATCCCGGCCGGGGGGAAGGGAGGAGGAGTAATCGTTTTTTATCGACCGTGGTGAAATTGCCCTCGCGGTTTCCGTAACTCCGCGAGACGCGGCGCGTCGGTTAAAAACCACTCTCGACTCTCTTGCAATTCACGGTGAAATTGACTGGTCTCTTCTATCCACCGTTCCCCCTCCCCCATCCTCCCTCTCCGTCAGCGATCCCCCCGCCCCCACCTTTCACCCTAGCCGCCCCGTTCCTTTTCATTAGAACAGACATTGTTACAGGGATTTTTAACGGTTTACATAATTTTGCAACAATTCTTGCAACCCGCAAGAATTCTTTTTTTTTTTCTTTCGCTGTCATCGGTTTCTGCGCGCGACAGTGGCGGCGACGGTGGCTCATAGATTACATAAAAACGAGGAATTATATAAGAGAGTTAACGGTGAGTCTTGGATCGGGCGATTACGTAACAATCGCCACCGACCGTTATCCGATTACGTAATCCGGGAAGATCTCTTTTTCGTGCGGTCTAAGAGGCCCTTCCCTCCGTTGGGAAGATCATTGATCTAACGCCCGCCAGGAAAATTCGTTCGCCCGATCTGGATGCTTGCTTGCTCGAGAACTGGTGACCTTAATTCGGCCCACGATCCAATGTAACAGCCAGCGCCAGATCAAGGGGTGGGGGGGGCTCCAACCGCGGGCCTCACTTTACCAGATGGCCTCGTTCTGAGCCTTGTATTTATGCCACAGAAGAATTTTTATGAAATTTTCTTTTACTATTTCCTATTTGGAATCATTAGAAATTGCACTAAATGTAAAAATAAATTGAACGAAAGTTATTAAAATATAACGTAGCAGTGGTAAAATGGAAGTTACCAGTAGCGTACAGCGTAGCCCCCCGCCCACGCGCTTTTTAACCAAGGGGGCCCTTGAAGATTTGTTATTCCAGGGCCCTCAGAAAGCCTTAATTCAGGTCTGGGAGCAGCACAGTCTCCTGCCGACGACGCCGCCACACGCGAGCTCACGGGGACGCGTGCTTTCCTCCGTGAGTTTCACGCTCGTTACGTAAAAAGCAGCGAACGCGCGCGGAAACCGTGGCCTCGAATCGGACTTGCATGAAAATTCGTATTTGATTTTTTTCCGCGACTATACAATCAGGATTAGACAGTTGGAATCACGGGACCGAACGGAAAAAGAGAATGTACCCGACGAATTTGTACGTTTCGTGGATATTTTTTTTTTGTTTATCAATGTTCACCCGGTCGCGATTTTTCGATCCATCGTTTGTGTTTTTATACAGGTCCTCGTTTGTTTTTTAGAGCGTGTGTTGTCACCGAGGTAACAATATGTTTGCGAACATATAGATCGACAGAGACACCGTAAATTGTACGCGAGAGAAGCGCGTATCGAAGTACCTCCCCTCCCCTCCTGGGAATTACTTAGCGAATCGCTGGCGAATAAATTCCGATGGTTAGAGAAAGGTGCTCGATCTGCGCGGCGGTTGTGCGCACGGTGTACCCCCACGTATGCTCAACAATTGTACATAAAAATACATCGCCCGGTTTCGGTATGCTCGACTCAAAAGCCATTCAGTTGGAACCGTAGATGCGTGGAAAGAACACGGAGAAAGAGGTTATGTTGAACAGGAGATTAGAAAATTGTACAAAGTGTATGGCGATTTTCTATTGATCGGTAATATAAACGGCTCTAACGATTTCATTGGTAATATATAAGTTAAAACGTTATACCCTGAGCGGAGCACAAAAATGCGACATTTATACGCGAATTTACGGTATCATGGAACCAATTTGTACACATTTAATTGCAAAGATTTAAAAACCACTTTATACGGGAATTCAACGTGACATAGCCACAATCGGTGCAGGCCCGATTAAGATTTTTTGTGGCCCAGGCCTATCAGATTTTCGGAGGCCCACTTGGTTGAAAAGCGGGTTTGGGGGGAGGGTTGTAATACAGCAAAACAAAATACACATAAATCTTCAAATATTGAAATTTATTTTAGATAAAATTTAATAACATTTAATGATAACGAAATGGAAGAACAGAATCGGACTCCCGGGAACGTGGGGCCCAGCGCTACAGACACGCCCCCCCCCCTTCATCCGGCGCTAAATCGGTGGATCGAACTGTCGCCGTGTTTTATACGATAAATTTTGTATTTTATTGCGCAGCGTCGAGTGTTATTCTGCTGACCGATGTGCCAACCCTGTTACGGAAACTTTTTACTTATTACGATTGGCTTTTACGCCGATTGTATATTGTACGCTTCTCGAAGCCGCGCGAAACAAAGAGGAGAAAACGTGTGTATGTTTCTCAAGAGACCGAAATAATGTTCGATTCCTCAAACGTGCCTTCCTTGCGAGTAACCGGATGTGCCTTGATGTCTGGGGGATGTCCCTGACGATCGGGCAGGAGGATCGTTCGGTTCGCCATGATACTTAAAGAATATAAACGGATCGAGAACGATCTGTCCTCGACGAACCGTTCGCGAACCGACGAAAACAATGCATTTTCATTCCGACCGACACACACAGGTCATCGATGTCTAGAGAAAACGTTGATCACACTGATACGTTCGGTCGCGCGTCATCGTGATCTAGAATATATTATAAAGAGTTTCGACACGGGACGCATTGTTACACACCCCGAATATAATGGAAAGATTTCTTTCGCCAGTCAGGTGTAAATCGTCAACAAGAGTGTTCAAAATCATGGTTGTTTGTTGAAATTGTTGTTAGACTTAGTGGAACCATCCGCGAGCGTTTGTATTTTTTGTCCGCGCGGGAATCCGAAATTCAGAGACAGATACTTCTATTTTTTCTAGTGTGGGAACGCTCGCGATCCGGAGAGATCTGTGATGTTAGATCATTCGTGCGAATCGTTGTTGTCTTTGTCCAAATTAGCGTATTACGTTTAATTGTAATGATAATTGCTCACACGTTCTCGTAGAAGTTTCCTATGAAAATACAAAAAAAAAAAAAAAGAAGAAGCAGCATTAACCAATTGTACATCTACCTATACAATCGTAACCGTCGGGACGCGATCCCGTTGATCGCCGATCCCTCGAATTTTTGTAACATGCGAAGAGACCGTAAGATCGAGTACGTACTACGACACGATCGATGTGCACAAAAACGTCCACTTGGTGTTTCGTTCGGCTTTGCACGTTTCGTACACCTTGTACATAGGTAGGTTAGTTTTGTACTATCTTAAGGAGAAACTAATGAAAAATCGAGGTAATTGATCATTGTGCCACGCTTCGCGTAAACACGCGAACAGGGAAATTGAAAGAATGGAAGTTAGAGAATGATAAGTATCGTGCGCATAATGATAATTTATATATGAATCTACATCTAGATATTATTATGAATAAAGAATTGTTTAAAAAAAAAACCGAACAAGTCTGTACACCTACACTAAGGGATCATTTTTTAGTGGTCACTATCTGACACGGAGTTGCAGTCTAAAGATAAAAAAGATGGCTCGCTTTGCGTTTTATCTTCACTTTCGCAAAACGCTTGACTATTACATGAAAATGATGATAAACTTATTTTAATAGAGGAAACATGGATCAGTTGGAGAAAACAAAGTGTTAGTTTATTATATTTTATTTACATATATACATATTTACATTTGGACAAAACTTCATTGAATTCATAAATTAATTCATATTTGATCATGTCAACTTTCTTATGAGAAGTAATGTTTCTATTTGTTGACTACTTTGACTACCTTATACTCCAATACGTTACTCATTGTTAGCAGTCAGTGTCTTACAACTTAAACATAAGTAAATTTTATTGAGCACTGTAATATGTAACAATAGGTAGAAATACTTTTGCCACAGAGATGTCCATATCAGTACTACCTAATATATCAATAACAATAGAATTCATTTGCTACTTTTAATATTGGAGTAATGAAAAGAACTTTAGAAAGTTTCACTTCCCAGAAATTGCCACTGGTTTATCATTACGCTATCCTGTTGGAACAATCTAAGTAAAAAAGGAAACTACTGATAAGAAAATGCTATTGAGCTCAGGAAATAACTTCCCCCTTGACAGAAGACCGATTGCTTTGATGCCATTCAGGCAGAAACTGCTTCTCCGTCATAACATAGTCAATCTTTAGCGAGTAACTAACGGTCATAATATGACTCTATTACACTGACTTAAAAGACATCGTATAATTTGATTTAAATTATTTCTGAAGAATTTTTTAATATTCCAGTGACTATAAGTTTCTGCACCCTACTCTTGGTAATTTTTACGAGCGTCTTTTAAATCCTTTGATATTTATTTTTAAAACGAATTAAGTTACACATGGTATAATATCACAGACTGGGATATCTCACCAGTGGTAATATATAGCTACGACTATTACTTGAAAACCAAAACTAAAGGAGACAAAAGAGTTACATGCTCGACCAGATATAATAAACAGGACAATGGAATGCAGATCAGAAGATGGATTGGAATGAATTAAACGGAGATTAAGTACAGAATTAAATGTGAACAGTGGTGAATAGCATTATATTCCAGTGCCATATGCTATGCCCTTATCTCACAGGCCATACATACATAAGATGGAAGTAATTATCTTATACATATATGTAACATAAACTTCTATCTCGTTTTCCCATACAGTGACTAGAAACGAGGACTTTCATAATTGCTAGGTAACAGTCAAAAGAACTGCTACTGATGAAAGATTAGTGGTGCGCAAAAGCAACGAAATATTCAAAGATTAATTTAAAAATCATAAAAATAAAATGAATCAATGATACCGTATAACATGTTTGTGTTACTAATCACATAATTCTGCAATATTTGTTAAGGATGGTAAAAGGAATGAATCGATTTCGTTGGAAGCACATTTGCATGTTTCTATATGCGCGATGCGTTGATGGCTTCTATAAATACGGAAACAATTGTTCTCAATCGATGTGTTGCAATATTTGAATCGTTCTAACGCCAAACATTTGAACGATCAATAAACGTATCGAATAATACATTACGGATTCAATATCTTATAAGAAGTTGTAACATGAATTTTTACTTCATTTTGTATACAGAAAATTCACTGTTTAGTCGTCTGAAATAACAGTAATAATAATACCCAAGAATAAGATCGTAAAATTTCGCTGTGTTACAATATCGAGGTTGAAAATCACTGTCTCGCATAAATGTACAGTCTCGTAGCAACCTGAAATTGTCGAGAATCACCCACCGCGACCGCGGCCTACAATAACGGTCATTATTATCTTTCAATATGGTAATGTGTACTTTGTTTCTCGGTATATATTAGTACTAATAATCAAAGTAATAAGTCTTGATGACATTATCATCGCAAAGAAATACATGCACAATGATCAGTGCTGTTTATTCGTAGGTATTTACAGAATGTCCGTCTTAATCGTTCACAGGGCGTGCCATAAATTTAAATTTGTATGCAAATAGACACTTTTTCTACATTTTGCGTATGCTGTGTACAGTTACGACGTGTATATATTAGATAATATAAACAGGCTGGAAAAGTGAACAGAGGTCGCCAATGTTTGTACGCCGCTAAATTATTAATCAAATGAAGAATACCGTAACGCAGGGAGCGTCGAGTTGAGAACCACTGGGAACGTCTTCTGCTGCGCGTCAATGCCCGAACTGGCCCGAACTGTCAAGATCGGTTGTTCAGCGTACAGTAGAATTGGTGATAAGCTTATTCTGTACACGAGATATTGTTTCTTCGTGAAATAAATTTTGGTGCAGCATCTCGTGACGTATCGCTAGCACCAAGTGCCGCGCGATTAGTCAGCGCCAGTCACTGACTAGCGCGGTACATACCTTTGGATCTGACGGACTGACGTCGTACCAAAGCGCAAATGACTACATGTTAAAGCCAGTGAAAGCGACGTACTTTGGGTGAACAATTTTGTATATCTGTCGGCGGAGCTGGATTTCCTCCGAACCTCTGAAAAATGTTGGCGCTCATCAATCGGATTTTGGACTGGTTTAAGTCTCTCTTTTGGAAAGAGGAGATGGAGCTTACCCTCGTCGGCCTGCAGTATAGTGGAAAAACCACTTTCGTAAATGTCATAGCGGTACGGAAATTTCTACTGATTCTCGCGGCATAACGATCGGGTCATTTTATTCTGGATCGCGAAAACTTGCAATTTCTTCGACGATAGACTGTTAACATTCAGCCGACAGAAACTGAGGAACATGCATCGTTTTGGTTAGATTCCATACTCCGTGTGGAGTAACTTGATCGACATAAACGTAAACGGTCCTCGCACCCGCCCTTAAATCAACATTTCGAAAATGCCTGTTTCTTTTCAAATGTGTTTTTTTTTTATGGTACTACAATTGTACGGTTTCGAATCATTCCCTTAGTTGATGTATTTCTTATAAAAAGTAGTTCAATTTCCATCTGTATTCTTGTTACAGTCAGGACAGTTCAGCGAAGATATGATTCCTACGGTTGGTTTCAATATGCGTAAAATAACAAAAGGCAATGTCACTATAAAAGTGTGGGATATTGGAGGCCAACCGAGGTTTAGGTCTATGTGGGAAAGATACTGTAGAGGCGTGAATGCAATAGTATACATGGTGGATGCTGCTGATCCTGAGAAAATAGAAGCAAGTCGCAATGAGTTACACAATTTATTGGATAAACCTCAATTGGCTGGTATTCCAGTTTTGGTACTTGGCAACAAGAGGGATTTACCTCAGGCTCTGGATGAAAATGGACTCATAGAAAGAATGTATGTAATTCTTTCGAAGACAAGCGTGTTGCAATACTTTAACATAAGTTTCAATAATATGTTATTTTTTTAGGAACTTAGCAGCCATTCAAGATCGTGAAATCTGTTGCTATAGCATTTCGTGCAAAGAGAAAGACAATATTGATATTACATTGCAGTGGCTTATAGCACATTCTAGAAGTGGTGTTCGCTAATACGTGTATTGAATTTTATGTTCTTATACATTCTTATTGGAAAGCCCAAGATATTGATAGCGGAATTGGGATCAAACGCGCGTGGAAGTGTTCGGCGATTTTATTCTCGGTTGATTGATTATTGTAGAGAATTTTGTTTACATCTAAGCTTTAGCTACTCTTCGTTTAAACGTATAAAAAATCATAGAAAATTTAAATGGAAAAAAAATACCAAGGAAGTTATGCTTAAACCAAATATGTTCGAGCGAACGATAACAAGACACATAAATCCTTGCGAGCACGTTAGAGATAAGTAACTACTTTTTTATATTGCGTTTTTAGATGATCGATTCGAGTAACAATGCTAATGTAAAACCATCAGATGAAAAATAGCATTTAAACCATTAACGTAGAGACAATGGTAGCTAGTACCTATACAAGCGCATAATAATATCAATTATCGTATAGTACACATTCTCGGAAATATTTAATTAAGATTAATACATCCACGGCATAGAGATTACGTACATTCGATCGCTATATGTACACGAATATGATGCTAAGTAAACTTGTATAATTAATGGAGAATTATTAACAATATTATACCGATTTACTATGATCCTTGAAAATATGACAGTTGTGTTATGTATATACACGTATATATATTATATATACAAAAAAAAAGAAGAATAAAATGATGTAATCCATTTTTTCAAATGGAAGATCGCCTCTGAAAAAATTTCTACTATCACTGAAAAACGAGAATAATAAAAATATTGTATGTTTTTAAAACGACAATATTCGACGTAAAATTTTGAACCATTCGAAACTCAGTGTGAAGTTCTGATTGGTCAGTGACGTTATGGTGCAATCGATTATATACTACGTCGAGAATCGATTCACGAGGTTATTTTATGCTTGTGTAGAGTATAGACTAGAGATGGCGTGAACTGCTACTTGTGAATCACTCGTGATTCGATCACGTTCGTTCTCGATCACGGTAATTTTTCACAGTGATTCGTGATTTCTCGTGATCGTTTCTGATTGGTGGAGAAACCTAACAGTTCTTTACACGCGACACATAATCTGTATATTTTATATTTTATATTAACGACATCGAAACAAAAATTCGAGTTATATCGTATAAAGTGAAAGAATAATTAGAAACAATGAAGAATAATGAATAAATTAATGATTATAAATTATAATCTACATGTTACCTAGCAAATCATTCTTTTAGAATTTCTTGTTTTTTCTACTGATT